TGCATGCTGTAAGAATTGATAAGAATTTATCGTCCAAAGCTATAAGTTCGTAACTTCTAAAATATAGGAATAATTTATTTTAGAATCGCGATAAGTCAACTCTACGATATATATTTATCATTAATGTTTGTTAGATATTGGTTAAGTATATTTGCGATAAATCGTCTCTCGTGCCCGGAAGATGCTACATATGCCGCCACGAGAATCGCGAGATAAAAAATATTATCACTTACGCCTTTTTACATTAGCATCCGGCGATAACTTTTTATATTATTGTTTTCTAATGCTTGCTTAACTATTTCATCACTTGAAATTTTAATTATCCCTTTCAGTCAATTTTACCTGCGTGTTGAATATATAAGTTAACGTATCGTCGATACGCGAAACATTTTATTTTACCATTTTTTACGCAACGTTTCGCACCGACCGATCTGTCGCGAGCCTGGTTTCTCGCATTTTTTTTTAAGTGGAAGGAGGAAAGTTAGGCGAGAGTTTCAAGCTACCAATTTAAATGCCGATCCGATGAGCCGGCCAATACGCCTCGCAGAGTGCAAGGTTATTAAGGCATAGTCTGGTCGGCGAGTTTAGGTAGATTGGCCCATGGGGGCCAGTGCATTCGAGAGCTCGTTGCCCATCGACGGCAGGCGAAGCTTGACCTCGGATTACTCAATGATTTTTTTTTTCTCGTAATGGACACACGACCTGCTTTCGTTACAAAAATGTACTTCACACCTTGACTGTGGCGAACAAACTCCGTTACCAGCTTACCTGTTTGTACAGAAAGAAAGAAAGGGCTATCGCGGCCGATACGTAATACGTTTCTCGAGTACAAATCTTTGCCAAGAAATATCAAAAGGGATCAAGAGAATCTTTTCTTGATAAAAGACATTATTGTATCAGTATTCCAATGTAGCGAAAGCCGTCTGCGACACAATTTGTGGATCAAGACGAATATGAGGATGTTATAAATATGATTCGTTACAAGATTTTTTTTCTGCTATTACTTTATTGTAACTAATACTACTCTAAGTACGTTATTATTATATTACTAGAGGAAAGTCCTCCGTTGTGAGATAGGTTTCTAATATGAGATAGCTGGTTTTCAATACCCAAATTCAACGACAAATCTTTTCTCGCAACGATTACACGATCTAACAATGAATTTTCCACTAAACAGATTTCGCTCCGAGGGCAAGAAAGTCATGGTGGAATCAATCGACGATGCCTATTAATTTTGCAGAAACTCCGCTATCCCATATTAGGATCCTATCTCATAGCGGACTTTCCTTTATATTATTAATTATTTTATTCATACACATATTCTTCAGTACATAATTGGGCAAGTTTTTGTTGTATATATTTTCCTGCACTGAGAATTAATAATTTTACGAGTAATTAATAGTAGTAAGATTTTTGACGATTATCTTCTTCTCCTAAAAGAAACGTAGTCCAGGATCATTCGCATATAATAGCATTTGTAAAGTCTATCAAGAAAATCACGGTCTCGTCCAATTTCAACTTGGCCACTTTTAATTTCGGCAAAAGTCACTTTCGCGCCTTTTACTTAATTCTGGCTTGAGTATTCTTGGCATGCGACGTCGACTATTTCTGTTCCAATAAGTTCCCCGCGATGTTTTCGGGTTAATGTCGATTTTCGCACTTCTGTTTCGGCGAAAGGGGAGCACTAACCCGACCGTCGGCAAGGACGAGTGCTCGAGGCGCCGTCGAAGAAAAACAATAAAACGAGAATTAGCACGTCTGGCGAAACGGTTGACTCTGCCGTCAATTCAACTGGCCGACTTGCCAGGACGTGCATCTGACTGTTGCATTATGTGCGCGAATTATCGTCGCACGTCTCCGAACAGCACCGCTCGGACCATGTCACTGACATACCGCGCCGTCGAAAAAGTAATACTAAAATGTACGAGTCAATTCTTTTTTAACGACACCTTTAATTCAGCAACTTTATTATCTTTTCATTAATCTTTAATTACTCAGTTTGTGTCGAAACAATTAAACCTTGTTTTATTGCACGCACTGTACAGGTACGGTGCATTAATTTGGTTCGGATAATATAACTAGGGATGGACAAAAATTACTTGATTATTTAAACGTAGATGCCTTTTGACAGTACACTGAGGAAAAAGTCTTTGAAAATTTATTTGTGGCATATAACGTTACTTCAGTGAAATAAACATTATATGCCATAAATAAATTTTCAAAGACTTTTTTCTTCAGTGTACGATCCGAAGCGAATTAATGCACCGCGCTGTACTACATAAAAGAGGAGATAAATTTCACGGAGATCTTTTATTCACACGTAATCGCTACATAAAGTTATACAAATTTAACAAGTGAACGGGGTCTCGAGGACCCTGCGCGGATAATTAAACGTAAAATAATTTTGTATAGCTTATCGACGCTTATTTCCAAAAGAATGTATTTCAAACTGTCTAAACATTTTTTAATTACGTTTAATTCACTTTGCAAATTGATGCGAATATCTTTGGATAACAGCGCAGATGTTGGAATGTGAATCTTGTTTCAAAAATACTCGAATGTGAGACAACTTTGAGAAATAAATAAGCTTCACGCGTATTCATTACGGAAGTGACGTTTCGTAAAGAGCTTTATGGTGAATTTATCGTTTGATTGCCGCTTGCATTCGATAAAATGCACCCTGCTATTGATGCAGTGGCGCCGTTCGCTTAAATAAATTTTTCCTTGGCACCCTTTCGACCCGGCTGGCGACAAATAAGATAACCCTTCCTTCAGTTCCACATTACAATTGTTTCGGTTATCGCAACCGACATAAAAGCCATGACACAGTTATAATGACCTATACAAGAACGAATTGCATAAAAACGAATTCCATATACACATAAAACAAATTTCACTCGTCCTGATACGATTGTATTATGAGAAGCCGATAAATATATCCATAAATATAATTGCGGTAAACATGTTTTTAAAACACACGCATTATTTTATTAACGCGCGTAGAGTAACGTTACTCATACAATATTTTGTGACAAGCGGTACGTCGAATAAACAAGCACGAATTAGTAACTTGACAACAGGTAAAATCTAAGTGTAAAATAAATGGCACATTGACACGATCGAAATTTGACAGACACTTATAGACGACCTGTGTGTTGTTGCATTGATCTTATTATCGTATGCACATGTATTATAAGATAATTGAGAGCACATGATTAACAACTTGCATCGATTGTGATATCAGCACTGACCATATTGAACAGATCTATAAATGCCAGGCTGTGTATACACTTTAATCAGGTACAAACGATAAGAATGCACAGTTATGACAAATTCTGCAGTCTTACTTTCAGTAATATGTGTTTATTGATCATTAATCTTTGATAAGTAAACGATAATTATATTTACGGATCCGTTCTGGTTGACGACACAGACGGCGTGAAATGTGCAGTCAAAATTTTCGGCATTATCAATTGCAGCGACATGCTACGCCTGTATGAATTCTCGAGATACCGTCTGCGTATTCACGCAACTCATTTATTTATTGTCTTTTTATCTACCATATTTCAACTGTTATTATCTGGTAATATTTATTATACTCACTTCAAATAATCTACTTTTGTTCTTGCATATTTCTCATCTTTGTCTCGCGAATTGAAACGGTATAAAAATGTACAGATATGTGTACTTACCATTTTTCAAGTATTATTTACAAAAACGTGATTCCTTGCTTTATAAGAAACTGTATATACGTTTTTATACATTAAATTTCAAAACGCACAATGAATTCCTGGATCGCGTAAAGTTTGCTGGTCATCAAAAATAGTTAGTGTTTTCATAAATAATTCAAGAATCAATTGCTTCAATGAGCAATGTAACGATGTAATGATAAGTATAGTTCTTCGATATTTTCGATTTCTCTTAATGATTTTCTCTCGATATTTTATACAAGAATGCATGTATTGCAAAGTCGCGTGCAAATTATTCTGAAATAATTCGTCAAGGAAGGACATTTAATTTTATATACAAAAAGAAAATGTACCGTGAATAAAGTTTGGTAAGAACCTTGCTAAGGCGTATTATGTAAATTTGGTCTTCGAGATCCATTTTTGGAGCTGTCCATTTATTTATAAAAGAAGGAGCTAAATTTTATAAATTATTTATTAAATTTATAAATAATTTCTACATGATTATGTAAAATTTAAGGTATTTTGAATTAATATCACAAGATATACAATAAAGAAAGATTCAGATGTGTTAAATAATTTGAATTATATTATTATGTTTGTACCATATCTTTTAGTCAATATTCATTGATAAAGATAAAGAAGCATCTATAATTTGTCGCGGTAAGATCGTTTGGGTCAGCAAGATTGTTTGGGGGAACAGGAACTTTGCGCCGATAATCTGGAAAAGTAATATGATATGATAATTAATAGCGCATGTATTACAAAAATATTTTCTTCACCTTGCGAGTACCAGAAATCGGCGAAAACATGATCGGTTTTTAATGGGCGGGCGAAAAGAAATCGCAGAACCATAATCGTGTGTTGCCCCCAAAGTTTATCGTCCGCTGTTACCATGGACCTCTCTCTTGTATTGATTAAAACAAAAAGAGAAACACGTCGTCGAACATGATTTAATTAAATATAGATTGTATGCTGCAAGAGAGTACACGATATTGCCAAATGTATCTTGAAGCGGTCTTTAAAAATAAAGTTTACGTACGACAAGCAAAAGTAGTAAGTACGCACTTTCTTACTTATCAAATGTACGTATTTGTGGAATAAAAACAGTCAAATGACGATTGAAGTAATTAAAATAGCCAAAAAGAAATTTACAAATTACGGCAAAGTAATGATGGCCCGATTTGATAAACCTTTTTATCAGAGATATATGTATTAAACGTTTTACCGTTAATAGAAAATTGAATCTGACTTGTTATTCGAAAAGAATCGTTTGATAGTGGTAGAGGAGGAAAAATGAAATGTTATTCCGTGCTCATCGAAAAACCATTTATTTATGGAATAAATATTTTTCTATCTATGCGCTGTGTGCCTACCTAGGAAGTACACATTATACATATAAGTATGCATTTTTCTGCCGTCCTCGTTCGCTATCTGGGGAGCGGGGGATAAGCAAATCCCTTATCTTTTTAATTATTGATACACTGAGACAAACAAAACTGAAAATGGGAAGTGTAATAGATACGAAGGAGTAAAAGGAATGGCCGGAGAAGAGACAAGGACAGCTTGACAGGAGGGGAGGAAGAGGAATTATAAAAGAATCGATTTTTCAAGGAGCTTTCTCTCTTACGTTCTAAATGATCGCTTTATAAAAATCGCAAAGTTTTCTTTATAAACTCGTGTGTGTGTGCGTGTGCGTGCGTGTGTGTATGTGTGTGTGTGTATGTGTGTGGGTGTGGGTGTGTGCATGTGTGTGCGCGGGCGAGCACGTGCGTGTTAATGTGTGTGTTTGTATTTTGTGTGCGGTGTGTCGCGTGTGACTTTTTTCCTTTACAATCACATGAAGTTTAGGGACGGTGCGCGCAAGTCCATCGTATATCGTATACTATTTTACAAAATGTAGCTACAGTGCACTTGACTCGAAGCCGAGGGGAAAATGTGGAGTTAAGTGTTAGCTCTGATAACATGAGAAGTTTCAAGTATGTTCCCGGATTTTGAAGATCGCTATACAACGAGGGATTGAAATCGGTAGAATCTCAACAAGTTCAATTCCCGATGTTACCCGGGTTGTCAGAGGAACGATACCCTATTTATTAAAAACGGTCGTTTCCCGCTTTTCGATTCACCGCGGAGGTCTGAACTTATCGAAATTATATTGGTTTCAATCGCTACACATAAGTGGAATTGTTGAAGCGTCGGGGATACGTCTATACATAATTACGGCACTGATCCTCTCTGTCACCGTGGTGATTAATAGCGATTATGCCCGAGGATCAGGGACGGAACCTAATGAGTCTATAAAAACTAATAAGAGCGCTTGTCGAGATACCCCTAGAATAATTTTGCCTAAAGACGCTTGTCAATCTCTCTCTCTCTCTCTTTTTTTTGGGTAGATTGTACAACGCGTGGAATAGGAAGGGACACGTTCCAAAAAAAGTCGTCGTCCCTTCTTGACGAGTGCACCCGACGCAGCTAAAATGCAGCTATTAATACCGTAAGTTACGAAGAAAGCTACGAAAATCAGGCCCGCGTCGCGCATTCGTTCGCGCGAATAATATTTATTTATCTAGAAATAAACGCTCGACACTCGTTCCGCGGGCGTGACGAATGACGGGAACGTGGATGTGAACTTTCCAATATTGCCGCGATATAAAAAGTCCCGAGCGCGATTAGCCGGATATTGGCGCCGTATAATTACAACTTACTTAGAGCCGTGCTCGCGTTAGAAAAACTAGGAGGGCTGAGGTTCTCCGCCACTAAAACGAGTAACATCCTCGTTGGTTCCTCCCAGGACGTGGGAGTGTCAGCGGAGCAACACCACATTCTTGCCTGCTACGACTTATTTACATAATTCGACACGCTCTCTCGCACATGCACTCTCACAATTCGCTAAAAAAAACGATCGTAATGACAGAAATATTTCTATATATAATATATTGTAGAAAGACGAGGAAGGAGAGAGGAAAAAAAACCATTAGAAAAAAAAACAACGATTTTACTGTACACCGAGATCTGTTGGCCAACACGTTTCCACCGATTATCGACGGCCTTCGTTTTAGTAACAACGCATTTCGTTCGTACAACGTAAAGAAATAGCGAGAGATAAAAACGACGCATCTCGTGAACACAATTAGGCACGCGAAACGGCCACATTGCATCCTTCCTAATCTGCGCGCGAGCCGCGACGCAATAGTGAAAATTTCAACAAAGTTTTACGCCGCTTGTTGGCAAAACCATGTCATAGCTTCTGCGAATACAACGCTTGCGTAATAACTACAAGCGTTATAAATATCCCACTCTACTACCTTCCTTGACTTGGGACAGGAATAAGAAATTCGCGTTTGAGGGAATCGTAATTCCGCGGCCGTGATCGGGATTGTGGATCAAGTGCAAACGTATCGGCATCTTAAAAATAATACCGTGACTCTAGGAACTATCCGCCTTGCCATGGACCATGGACCACCGTTGAGGTGCCTCTGACACGGCGCGAGTCCCTCTTTGGACTTCCCTTGGCATCCAGCACAGTCTTTGAGGGGACCCTCGCGAATCACCACACATCGCCTACCCGCGCACTTTGCGGTTCTTCCTCCGCGCTCCAAAGAGATCCGCATCACGCAATCACTCTCCGAACAAGGCACTTTCAGTCTATCGGATGAGGAATCGCCGTGAACACGACGGCGACAATCGACGACGATTGACGAGAACAATGACGAGGATCATCGGGAGAGCATCGCGGTATCCGTGCGGAACTCTCGGCGCCGCCCACGTCTCATTCGTTCTGCCAGAAACGAAGGTGGACTATGAGCACCCGCATTTCTCGACGACCATACCCGGCAACCGCGAGAACACGATCTGGTACTCGTTGTCGAAATACAACATTGTGATTTCGGACAGTTTCCTAGGTGCGCAGCACGGCCCGGTGTTGTTCGGCGGTTCCGCCAGGCTGACGATATGCGTGTTTGGATAGGCCGGAAGGAAAGCCATCGGACAGTCGCCCGAGCAGTAATTGGCATCGTATCTGCGACACAAACATCCAGAGAACCGATCGTTAATGCGGATTTCGCTATCAATTAACCCTTTGAAGCATACATTTTTCTATTGGACCATTTTTCTGTCAAACTTTGTACACGAGGGTTTTGGGGTCGCTGATTACGAATTTATCAGATTTTCATAATTTAAAATGGCGGAATTCAAAACTTAAACGAATAACATCATTCAACTGTAATTCACCGTAACTGTAATTTACCGCTAAGATACGCAAAAAATGCAAAAAAACGAGCTAAATGCGTTAACTAGAAATTAAATGGCCAAAAGGTAAAGAAGTTGCGGCGTTAACGCGGGTTACCACCGTGCTTCAAAGGGTTAATTCTGAGCCACAAAATAAAATTCCCGTCGACGTTTTCATTTTCCAAATTTTAATATTCATTTTAAAAATCGACGATATAAACTGGGATTATAACTTTAAGGTTTTTTTCGCGCTATTTTTCTCGTAGTAGAGTGCACTCCAAATTGATCGCGCACTTTTTCGTGCATTCGGCAAAGCGCGCCCGCATATTTTAAATCTCCTAAAGGCCACGAATAAACATAATTAATTTCACATCCGTATTCTACGGCAAGTTGTCGTTAAACTATCGCCGTGGCAAATTAACTCGAAATGCAAGGTACACCGGTATCGCGTAACGAAAAGTATTTTTAGCACCAAACGTGCGCAAATAACAGTTTAGTGCTGTTGATGCAGAACTGTTCTACGTGCCAGCAAGAAAGTCGCAGTTCCTTTATTGAAACCCAGTTTGGCTCAAAATATTTTTCTTCACCAGAGAAATCTTCACGAGTACGTGCTTGACCGACGATGCATTAATCACTCCGTAAGTCGCGATATGTTCTCGCAAAAGTGCACACGTTTGAAGAATTCTATTTACAGGCGCAAAATATACCGCGTCGATGTAACTCACGCGAGGATTCTACTGTCAATCTCGCAACACGTAAGAGGCATTTCCTCCCCGTGCGTTCAAAGATTCATAATCCTCGTAACAATGTGAATCGAGTGAAGTAAAACGATGTGACCTGCAATTGATCTACAATCGATTTTCCACGATCTTCCGAAATCTAGATCGAATCGTTAGCGAAGGGAGAAAAGGGGGGGGGGGAAATGGGAGAATCGTGCACTCACTTCTTGGGTGCGATTATCCAATCCCAGCCGAACTTCTCAAAGTCCACCGTGAGCTTGTATCGGCAACACCTGGTCTCCTGGCTGGCCTCGTCGCAATTGAGTCCCACGTTCCTCTTGATCCTGGAGCTCCGTCGCAAATCGAGTTCCTGCATCTGCACCTCGAGATATGGAGCGTACTCCGCGCCGGGATTGGTCTCGACCAGGCGGGCCGAGTTCCTGCGATGATTGCTGCCGGGCCCGATGATCTTCAGGGCGACCCCCAGATTATCCCTCGGGTGCTTGAACCACTCCGCCACCATTCGTCTGAGCTCGATCGTGATCCAGCCACCCCGCCGTCCAAACGGCCGAGGGTGCTTCGTGGTCAGAGGTGGGCCCAGAAGGGGCCCGCCCGTCTCGGTGGCGCCCCGAAGGATCCTCTGCAACGTGATCGTCACCGGACCGGCGTCCTGGCTGTCCAGATCGATCGACTCGCCGAGCTCCGTCGCTTCCTGATTAAGGCCCCATATCCACAGAGACAGCTCTGCCCTGGTGACGCGATGCTGGACGACCTTATCGGAGAACTTGAAGTACAGCACGTCCAGGCTGCCCTTCGAGTGCCTTAGCCTCTGATCTGGAAAAACACGGAGTTTGCGATGCGTCAGTCGCGGAATGCAATTTTGGCAAATTATTTCACGCGAACTCAATGGAGAAACGAAACGCTGGAGTAGTCCTCCTCGGTAGAATATATCGATTGTGTAACGTGTGTGTGATTGGAATTCGATCTTTATTTTTAATACAGTCGTTCTAAAACAGCTGCAAGTACGATTACTTAATGCTGCGTAGTAATAAATGCATTGGGGTATGATTGGCGCGTCAATAATTGAGTCGGAAAATTCCAAATAGGAGATACAGTCTCGTCAATAGTCTCGCGGCACGCGGAACACAGAACAGCGATAATGTGTCATTTCCTCCTCGACAGCGCGCACGTAAACGCGGATTTTTCATTTTTTTTTTTTTTTTGAAAAAGCGAGACCAGCCGCTGCGGCTCGCTTATTGCGTCATTTATTATCCTTGAATGAAAAGATTCTCGCTGGTCGATACTGCAGGCACGATGTTGCATAGCTCGATAAAGTATCGCTGTGCCGCTTAATGGCTTCGTGGCCACTCTTGCCGCTATCTGCGTATAAATATTGGATAGCGCGAATAAAAAAAAAATTGAAACATAAAATTTAGCAAATACTTCTTTGCAACGCAAACATGTACTTTGTTTGCGAGCTCGGTTTAATTTTCGACGTGGCTACAATTTTGCGATTCTGTTTGCCCGTCGCGCGCGTTTTTCAGCGAGCATAAAAACGAGATATTAAAATCTTGTCGGTTAAAAATCCCAGAATATGTTGCGAAATATTTCTACGTCGGTAAAACACACGCAAGTGTGGCCTGAAATCGAAAGGTTCGCGCTGTGTTACAAGAGTACACGGCCTTTTCGAGCTTGTGTGCAGCAAGATAGAGACACGAAAGAGTGCGCCTGCGTTCGCGAAAGTATCATTGATGCCAGAGATGCTGAAGCGGTATATTATAACAGCTTCATTAAGCTCCATTCGGCGCGAGGTTATCGGGATAGAGTGTAGGCGCGATAATAATTTACGTATCGAGCTATTTGGAGCAAAGTGGATACAAAGTTGACCATTAGAAAATAACGCGTTATCTTTTCACTAATCGTGCGATTAACGCAATTACTTGGCAATTGCATCGATCGAGCGTCACGTTATCGAGAACGCGGGCCATATGCGTGCGGATCCAAGTGCACGCCCGGCCAAGATGCGTGTCCGATCCGTTGCGGGGCGAATAATTATTTCTAATTGACCGATAGCGCGGCGTAAGCATTGGCGATAAGGCGCGAGAGCGCATTAGAAAAACGCTCCTTCGAATTGCGGATACAGGCCTGATCGAGGTGGACACGACTGTCCACGATCGGCCGTATAACGGGCTGCGTAACGTCGTTATCCTTGGCGCGATTTCGCCTTTTTTATGAATGAAGGAGCCCATGAATTACGCGCAATAATCTCGTGCGAGCGCGCACACGTACGAGCGCGACGGGCCGCGACGGGCCGCGACGGGCGGCTCTCTTGAAATAAGTTTATCGGGGAGCAGCTTTTGCGATACTTCCTCTGCCGGCCGCGATATACTTTCCCGGGGCCGATCGAACGAGAAACGCGTATGCTCTTGTTTTTTTTTTCTGGCTCACCGGCAGCAATTTAATACGTTGTAAAGCGCGTTTCCTTGAAAATTGTAATTTTATTAACGACATGAAATTTCCGATGTTACGTTATCGCGGCGTAAGCTCACGGCAAATCGGCCGGCGATTATCCACCGTCCTTTTTTGCTCCGACGACGGTATCGCGGACACACGTCTCCGGTGGAATTGCCTCGATTCGCGAGGCAGCCAACTCGCGCGATCGGATCGACGCATACTTAATCGTTGACATGAGGGAGTCAAGGAAGAGTCTTTCGGGTCTCCGGGTCGCTTTCTCCGATTGCAAACGTTCGCAGATAAAACGCACACGATTAAATTGTGAAAATACAATTGGAAAATAGAGAATTTTCACAGCTTCTGACCCGTTGCGAGAGCCAATGAAGGGCCGAATTTTAGGCATTCGCACGCCCCGCGGTCTTTCGCGTCAAACGCGATTGATCCGTAAAAAAACTTGAATCCTCTCGTAGCTTTCTCAGGCGCGTTTATTTATACTCCATGCGGAAGGCAATCAAGAAGAAAGAGACGGAAAGCCGATCTATCTCACTTGGCGAACGCGGAGTTGCGAAACCTCCGCTTCTCGGTATATTAATTATCAATATCGTTTTACTCGTTCCGCTCATTACGAGCAGCTTCTACGAGATCGAGATACCAGCTGGTATCGCGACTCTGCATCGGGGGATCGCTCGGATCAACCGGCAAAACCTTAAACACGCACGGCGACGTGGCCGGTTTTCAAAATAAGAAGATCCACCGACTTAGAAAATCCTCCTCGCTACGGACGGCAGGTCGCTACGCTCGCAAAAACGCTTCACAAACGCCCGCGCAGGGCTCGCTCGCGGCCGTTCTCGCGATCGGAGGGGGAAGATCGGCAATAAATCAGGAAGAGAGCTCGGCGGAGAGTCGTGCTCGGATTTCTTGCCGATCGGATGCAGCGGCGCTCGATCGGCGCTCACGCACGTGCGTCCGACATTTACCCCGATGACCGACGTTAAACTCGACCCCGGATCCCCTGCGCTCGCCAAGAGCGACCGACCGCTCTGCGGCCGATCGATTGATCGATCGACCGATCGATCGGCGACGGGGACTTGCGGATAATACGCGAGAGAAAAGAAAAAGGAGAGGAGAAAGAGGAGGCAGATTTATATACATGGCAGGGGCCAGGAGACTCTATTCAGGCCATCGCTCGGCAAGACCGCTTCCACGAAGGGTAAAGCCACCTCAAATCGTACCGTTATACGCGAGCAACGTTTTTCACCCGATTCCTCCGATCAATCAGCGACTCTCGCCGCGTATCGATACCGACGCCACGACTTTGTGCGTATCTTCTAAGCAGGCTGCGCCCGTCCTGGTATTCGACTGGTTCCTCGCGCCGCGCCGCTCCGCGCCAGTCGCCGCGTAAGAAGCTTTTCCATGAAGCTTATGAATCCCGGACGGCGTTTTCCGAGCTCGCGACGCCTAGCTGACGAACGCGACGGTCTCACCGGTGACACGAAGGATTATTTTACACGACCATATCGAGGGAATTGATTCGATCGGAAGAAAGCAATCTCTTTCATTCTTAATTGCTCTTAATATCATTAATGATTAATTAGCAACTCTGTAACATGGTAACTTTGAGTGTCACCTATTTGCTACACATTTACCAATCGTTGATATCCTACGACTTAAAAATTTCTTAAGTAGACTTTTGCGCTTCTTTAAGTAACCTCTTAGATTTGAAAGATTACTTTTAAAAACTTTAATTTTATTTAGAGTAAAGTTTCCCAAGGGTTCCGGTCACAATTTCACACTGTTGATTATAGCGAATTGAGTTGCGTGCACTAGTGCGCACTGAGTGTACACCAAGACTTGTTTCTAGTCAATTCTTATATTCAACTTTGTCTTAAATACACGTTGAAAGAGTATTTAGCCAAAAAATTATCCATATGGATGCTATACAGATCATTTTACTGGCTAAGAAATATTTCAAGGGATATTTAAGACGATCCTTAAATATAAAAAGTAACTGTGAACAAGCCTTAGTGTGCACGCAGTGCGCAGTGCAAGCAACCGAATTCGCTATTAGATACAAATAACAATAAATGTGATGAAATATATGAGAATGTTCGGAGAATATGCAAAGGTATACAATATTGCAGGGATGCATTAGGTATATTCTTAGTACATTTCAGGGATGTATACGTAGAAAAGAAGAATATTCTTCTTTTGAAAATATGTTTAGTCTCAACGTGAAAATCTTGAAACGAGCTTATATTGCGCTATAGAAACAAAAACTTACTTGATCGAAGCAATTTTATGTAATTCAATCAAGAAAAATCTATGCTTACTGTTTAAG